GCAACTATTTTAAATGTAGCCTGGAATGAAATTTTGTATATTCTAGAAATATGAACTGGGAAACATTTAAGTAAGTTATACTGTAAGATGTATTTAAATTTGTTGCAGAATAGTGTCAAAAATTCAATTTTTAAGCTTTAGACTTTTAAAACTTTTTAACATACAACTTCATATTAAACAGATATTAAGTAATCCCTCAGATTAACAGATTTAAATCCTTAGGATAACCACAGAAGAGGGCCTAGGGGACCCTTTTTCCCCTCCAGGCCCACATGCTTAAGTCTACATTAAAATAAATTTAATAAAATCTCAAATTCTGTTTTATTAAGACACACACACACATACACAGACACACACCCCTGTCTCAAAGAAAGTGCTGTTCTTCCTGAGGATGACATTGAGGGTGCCCTCTGGCCTCCACATATACATCTACATGCACACAAATGAACACACATATCACATATACATATACACATAAGCATACAACAAACCCACAGAAGATATTATCTTGTGATATAGGGGCACTATTCATTACTTGTTAATGTTTTTCCCTTTTAGCAGTATTTTAAAATTTAGCTTATACCCATATCTTTTGTCTGTACATTAAACTTTCAACATGTAGTGATGGCTTCAAATCTTCAACCAGTTTTTCAAGTAATATTTCTAACCTGAGTAAGTTTGTCTAGTTCCCCAAGCCAAGCTCCAAACATTTTATCCAGGTCCTGATCTTCCTTGTCACTGTCTTCTTCAGCACCATGGTCGATTTCTTCATCTGATAGTTGCTCCATCTGAAATACAGACATTTGTCTTATATTAGTTACAAATTTAACTTAAAATTATGCAGTATAGGGCTGGAGAGATGGCTCAAAGTTTAAGAGCACTGGTTGCTCTTACAGATGACCCAGGTTCAATTCCTAGTACCTACATGGCGGCTAACAACTGTCCATAACTGCTGCAGTTCCAGGGGAATTCAATGCCTTCTTCTGACCTCCACAGCTATTGAATGACATAGGTGCATTCACATACATACAGGCAATACACTCATACACACAAAATAAAAATAATAAATAAAGAAATTATGTAGTGTATGCTTTGGTATAGGATGCAACTCTGGAGTCAAAATTTCAAAACTAGTATATCATAAAATATAGAACTTATTAATGGAGACAATGCTGACAAGTAGAAATGAGGGATGAAACCTCAGGTTTTAGGAAACTCTTAAAGAAAGGTAAATTATCATATTATGATCAGAATCACAAATGACAATTTAGAAAATGTATAGAGTACTCCTTTCAATCAGCAGAGGATACACTGTAGTATCATTTTCTTGGCTGACAGATTGTTAATACTCCACTAGAAGGAAGGATCCATAAGAGCAAGAGCTGGGTTTCCTTTTGTATCTGTAACACTTTGAGTGGCTGGTGTCTGGGTCATAGTCGTGTCACTAAATCTTTTTTAAAGAATGAATATTGAATAATGCACACACACACACACACACACACACACACACACACACACACA